TTGCGTGATCGAGTAGCTCTACAGGAGCACCTCGCGACTCCAACTGGTGTCTTGCCAAACCAAGCTTCAATGTTGTGATAAGCAAGACACGTATGTCGATTGAGTGGTTATTTGGTGTAAAGAAGAGAATGTGGGCGTTCCTGGACTGGAACAAGAAACATAAATACTACATACTCCAGTTGCACGAATGGTTTGAACAGCAGTACTACTCACAAATGCGATGAACATTCATCCGAAGAGAAACCAAATTAGCAAGTATCTTAGCGGCCTACCACCAACGCTAACGCTAGAAGAATACTCCCAGAAGCCACATCAAGTGCACCTACCGCAGCCAGATCCTAGTCGGACTTTCTGTCGAGGAGACCCATCCATATGCCCCTCAATCAATTTAGCTTGTATTTCACTATCTTTATAGTGTTCATCTCTCTCCAATCTGATCTCTTCTATCTCATGTCCGCGTTCAATTCAGTCTTTTTCTCCCTCGTCTCTTTCAAAGTCAAACCAAAGTTTCTTATTGAGATGTTGCTGCTGCATGAAACGTTTTAAATACAATAGCTCGCTCTTTCATTGACACCTTAAGCATCACGACCAGGGGGTTCGGATAATCGGCCAATTTGGCTGTCTCGTTGATCCAGATACGCGATGATTTCCTGTAATCATCAGTATCAAGTGATCCGGATCCTGGATCGGGATCATGTGATATTGATGCGCTGACACTATCAGATACAGATAGTTAGTTGTGTCTATGCACTTTACTCCCCTACTCCATACCAAAAAAATATCGGACCAGATGATCATAGCGGACCTGTGTACTGCACACATTTTTCTGTGTTTTGCACACAGTTTATCTCAGATAGGTACGATGATTAGGGGAGTCAAATGCTGATGTGAATGGTTAAAGCGTGGTCAAACAGACTGTTTTATAGGCGGCAGGGAATGGCCTGAAACGCCCTCTGGGCTGAGAAAATCGCTATTTTGTGTTTCTTTGCATTTTTGGCATGAGAGTCATGTGCTCCTAACCTGGCAAATTTAACAATGAGGCTGGATCTTCACGATCGTCCGGATAAATTTGCCACTGCCCGGTTATTAAAAACAAGCGACAATCAGTCGTCACAGCTACCACTGCCTTTTGGTTACTTATCTGCCAGTAAAAATGCGCCACTTGTGTGTAAGATGAACAAAGAAAACTAGTAGTGAGCAGCCTCCTACATTCAATCACGCCGTCGCGGACAATGGGCGTTGGCCGTCAGTCTTACATTTTTCCTCGCTACTACCCAGATCTGTCGAACCGAGTGCCCCCCCTCTCCCCTCCCCTCCAACGGTGTAGCTCAACTGGAAGAGCGCAAGGCTTCGGCCTTGAGGATGCCTGTTCAAACCGGGCCATCGTTATCGTTTACGCATGGGTTGGGCGCCTCGAAGAAGATCAAGCTAGCGAACTCAATAAACGACGAGTGTGCGCCGCGGTAGATGCGACTATGCGGTTCGAAGAAGGGTGAACGTACATGAATTCCGATTGTTTGCCCAACTTACTAACCTCCTCGAGTACGTCTTGCGTGAAGCCAGGTGCCGGATCTTGAATTGCAGGCGTCTGGAGAAGTTGGCGATGGCGTTGAATCATGGC